TTTTTGATGGCATGTCATGTGACTGTCCGGTAGATAGGTACTGAAGGGTCCCAGTTTCCTAATAGGGAAGCCCCACCGCTCGAGCAGTTCGTTCTTTCCCTCTTGGTCTTTTGATATACTTTTCGTCTTTAGTTCTCTTCACTTTCTTCATTTACCTCTGCCTCTGCCTCTGCCTCTTCGTCTTCTCTTTTACCCCGTCTGTCAGAAGCCTCAGTCACAGAAAACTATAAGGCTGCCATTACAGTTTCACCATGACCAACTTAGAACGCCGCGTGATGATCCGACTGACTGGATTTCCGATGGCTAACTACCATGCAACTAACACAACCCTCAAAGTAAAATAAATCCATCTCCGCTCAAATGATTCATCGCAATAATATCATTACAAAACTGAGCCCAAGGCACCTCTCGGCATTCTCACTGCAGCAAGTTACGTGCTCAGCAACGGTCTAAATACGTACGTTCAGGGGTCTGCCCGCCCTGTTCCTGCGCTCCCTGCAGATGACTGTCCAATACCCGCGCCCCGGGGGGCTGGTCAGCCGCTGCGCCTCGATATCCCATAGGTCACAAGTCAATCGAGGCTGACGCGGGCGCCAGGCAGCGAGCCCTCTCATGCATGTATCTCTCCGTCTGCATCTCTCCGTCGATCCTATACCCCACAGAGACACAGCCTTATGGCCCTGTTCCCCTGACTCCTCAAAATAGGAAATGACTCAGGCCAAGCTGCCTGAGCCTGTATAGATGCCACTGCCCTGCGGCTTGGGATCAATATGATGCAGTCCTGCAGGATCAGGAGGCTGCCTGCCTCGTGGCGCCCAAAACTGTACATCTTAGAGGGCTATAAACTGGCTTAAATCTTCACTCACCTGCGGAACGCTCTTCTATCTTCCAGTATCTCTATCAATTCAACTCAACTTATCACATTACAATCGTCAGGGACTTAAGCTCACACGAGCAGATACGCACTCCATGTCTCCTGATACAAACCTCAAAGACCCTACCGTCCTTCACAAGGTCGCACGGGTAGTACATGCATGGAAGCGAGAGTCAAGCATGCTCCAAATGGTCACTTCATTCATCTCAAAGCCCCCATCGATTCAAACGGCAGATGCTCGTCAGCATACCGTATGGTTGTTTGATAATACTGCCTATCAGGTACCGGCGCCCACAGCATCAAGGCAGGCATCATGGCACGCAGAAGTCGTGGCCTGCGCTTTCCGCAAGAATAGCCGAAGGGATATCACCAAGCTCGTCGCCATGATTGCAGACCTCATTGGACTGGACGGGGAGATGGGAACGGACAAGGAGACACGCCATCGGATAACAGAACGACTACAGCCATTTCTGTTCCATACTGCCTCTGCACACTTGATGACACTAGAAACTCCCCTGCCGAACAGCACCATCCAGATGCAGAAGATCGGGCCCACCGATGAGAGTGGCATCAGTAGTCAGACAATCAGCGCGAACAGCAAGCACATCACAGATGGCACTAGAATCCGATCATATCTTCGAGGTTGGGGAAACCAGGTTTTCATGGACACCATCTTTGCTGGTCCAGAAGGTTGGCTTGTCATCTCCGACATCGACGATACAATCAAGTACACCAAGACTTCTGAGACCACTGGCATCCTTCGCACCACGTTCGTCGAAGAGCCCAAGCCTATTGCCGGAATGCCTCGACTCTATGCCCATATCCAGAATCAGCTTGTACCTGCATGGTTCTATGTCTCAGCGTCTCCTTATAATTTGTACCCTTTTTTGCACGGATTCCTTGGTTCATATTTCAGTCCGGGTACGATGATTCTTCGAGACTCATCCTGGTTGGATATCAGCGAGCTAGTAAAGTCCTTCACCGTTAACACACACGAGTACAAGGTGGACCGCGGGGAGAAAATTCATGGATGGTTTCCCAAGCGCCAAGTGCTCTGTATCGGAGACTCCACCCAGCAAGATCCCGAGGCCTACGCAGAACTTTATAAGAGGCATCCGCACTGGATCCAAGCGATTTGGATCAGGAAGGTTACAGACGTGCCTCACTTGGATGAACAGAACTCCCCAGAGAGATTCAAAACTGCGTTTGCGGGTATTCCAGAACACGTGTGGAGGGTGTTCGAACAACCGGCGGAAGTGCATCATCTGGTGGCTGAACTTGAGTCAAGCAGTCGACAGGCACAATCCCCAAAACAAGGCCTGGTCTACCCACAGAAACTTCCGCCACCGCCAAAAGACATGGTGATGAGCTCAATATCGCCTGATCAGTCGATCTATTGACGGTGCTGAGATAAGCCGTTCTCTCCTGGGTTACGTCAACATGAGAGTATGTTCACCCGCAGCCACGGTGGCTGCAGCCCACTCCAGAATTTATACTAAGCTCTCTTGTGCCCAAGGGTTGCAGATCATTTTATTTTCCCCGAGTTACAGGAAGAAGCTCAGAATATACCAAAGTCAAGGCTTATCCACTGAAAGAATTTGTCCCACTTGGCACTAGGCATAACGAAGGTTCGCGGCACTCACTGTCGCAGCGGTTCATATCAATTGAGTTTGAGTACTCTATTGAATACGATCGGAGACTGCGACACTATCACGCATTAGGGAAGCCGAGCAAATCGTCATGAAGCCTGCAAAGCCTCAGTCAACCACGATGGACGAACAGACGTTCGTGCCACCAACAATGAGAGCGCTTTACTTCAGCCCGGCATCAACAGCCGTCACAGACCACACATCTATGGACGAGCCTAGGACTGATTCCCACGTGAAGTTCGACACGGACTTTCAAACTCCCATCCCTTCAGGGAACGACTATCTCGTCAAGGTGCAGGCAGCCGCCTTTTCCCATGATGAGCTCCGGCTATCTAATATTTTGAACCCATCCAAGTCCATTCCGCAGATCCCTTTGCATAGCTTCTGTGGTACGGTCATTAGTACCCCTGAAAAAGACCACTGGAACCCAGACGGGCCCAAATTCAAGGTTGACGACGCCGTCTTTGGACTGATCAAGCACACGCGCGACGGTGCAGCAGCCGACTACGTCATCGTATCAGAAGATGAGCTGGCGTACAAGCCCAAGAACATCAGCGCTGCTGAAGCAGCTACCATTCCCATGCCCGCCTTGACGGCTTGGGAAGCGATATTTAAGTACGCCGGGCTTGACACCGCCGATGTTAAACATGGTCGCCAGCAGCTACGGGTTCTCATTACCAACGCGCGCAACAATGAGATTGCCACTCAGGCACTACAGTTGCTTCAATCGCATAAGCTCTTCCCGCACTCGCGGCCCTGGATTTGCGCAACCTGTGACGCTAAAGATCAGGAGGAATACCTGCGGAAAGAATACAACGTGGACGCGACAATCTATGCGCCACTTCCCCTACCACATGACTATGATCTCGGATCTATCTTCCGCAAGAACCGCTGGGATCCCGTAGATATCGTCCTGGACTGCGCCGGTCAGGAGATGTTCGAGCAGGCACACTCTCCAAAGGTCATCAAGGAACATGGTGCTGTCCTGACCGCGGTAGACTCGACGCCGGCGGAAGCCAGGGACCCTCTCCATGACGATGAGCCACGCAAGGATGGCGTGCTTAGTCGCTTCATTATTGTCAGCCCCAACGGTGAAGCCTTGAGCCGGATTTCCGAGCTAGTTGAAGCAGACGAGGTCCGAGGGAGGGTCGAGAGTATCAAGGACTTGGTTGACGGCACGGACGTGCTATCCGCGGGGGCGGCAGGAGCGGGCGGAGGACGACGGGGAGGAATGATGGTGATCCGGGTTAACTAGCATGAAGCGTTTGATATCTATGATCTACGTGATAAATGTATTTTAAAGCAGCATGACAGCTCAGTGAATGTACCATACTTGGCAGCTACATTAGCGATTAGACTCATCAATGTTTAGACTAGTAGATCTATAGACCATCGTCAGAGAAGGGCATATCAAGGCAAAATATCTCGTTAGCCCGGGCGCATGAGACGGATTAATACCAAAATTCTTTTCTTGTTATTGAATCTTACAGGTAGACGAAGCATACCCTTGAAAGTAACTAACGACATGGTGGAAGAGTAAAGCGCTAGAAGGACAATCAACAGACAGAAAAGAAGGGGAGAAGAGGAGAAAAGGAGAGAGGAAAAGAGAAGGGGAGTAGAAACACATACAGGCTCAATCCGAGTCAGGTGCAGCATGGGATAAACAAAACCCCTCCCTCACGACAAGACTTTGGTGCGACCTGATGATCGATAAGGAACAAAAAAAAAAAGAAAAAGAAAAGAAGAATTGATAGGAAGGAAGATGGATTCGACAGCACAAGCCACCCGGTGTACATGGTAATACATTCATGAAGGGAAACTAGTAGACGAAGAGGAAAAGGACAGGGAACCTTTAAGCACCCTCTGCTACACATGTTGAGGGAAGAGAAGAAGATAAAAGAGGGGGGGTTATGGGGATGATTAGAGGAAGTTGAAACAATTGGAATAATGATTTAAGGTAGAAGAAAGAAAAGGAAGGGGAGAAGAATAGTAGAAGAAAATAAATTTTTAGAGGGAAATAAAAGAATCATAAATAGAATAGTAAATAAAGTAAAAGCAGAGGTCCGTGCAAGGCCTCTTTGGATGTTTCCGTCTCCATGTGTAGCACTCATTCTTAATCTTCCTTTATGTTTTTTTTCTTCTTCTTTTCGATAGTTTTTGGTTGTCTGATGACAAAGGCACAAACCAGTTGCGTCCTTGTCATGGCATACCGGGTTCAAAGTTCTGGATGGCGCCCCGGTGCTGGTTGTCTGACCTGGCTGCATGCATCTGAACGGGGTTTAACTTCCCAGAGGTGCGTACAATTCCTGTGGGAATTGGGGGAGTGTGTGCTTTGAGAAATACATATGGCATGGCCGCGCTTTACCTCCTTGGAAATAGAGGGAGGGAGCGGGCGAGTCGATGGGTGGAAAAGAAAGCTGTGGAACAAAAGCAGACGATGAAAACACAGATCAATGGAGATCGAATCGAACATCCCGTGCAAAACAATGCAAGACGGATTTCATATAAACGCCACTCTGCCAGTTCCAACCGGTATACCGGTGACTACTTCAAGATGAAGCCAAGTAGAGCTCCCCCGGGGTAGTTGTTTTGTTGATTCAGAAACCAATAGCATAAGGGGAAATAATAGGAAAGTAAAAAAAGACAAACTAGGTTGGGGACTATAGCAGATGACGAAGAATGATAAAACCCTTACAGTAGGGAGTCGAGTCTAGTGAAAACGCTCAAACATGCTGCCACAATCTGCAAGAGAATTAGCACTGGGCGCAGAGTAGTCAATGGATGAGGAGAAACGTACCTCCATCTGAAGTTCTCGGTCTTTAGATTTGTTCACCTCGTCGTTGATAGCCTGTGCCAGGTTGGCTCCAATGGCCTGCGACCCTCCTGCTCTCCGGGCAAATGGCCACTGAGAGTATTCAGCAAGCAACTCATCCACCTGCGCGAATGCCCTTTCGCGGGCCTCGTGACTCATTGTGACCAGAGCGTTCTCCAGCACGTTGGCCGCATAGGCCGCGCATACCATGGTGATGGTTCGTAGGTAACGGAACTCGACGTCTTCAGGAAGCCATGCATTGGCTGGGAGGATCACTGTACGGCTGCTGCAGACGTTGCGGACGCGGCGGTGGAGATCGTCCTTGGCGCCTCCATCGGCGACGGGATGCGTAGCCATGTCGAAGAGGAGGAAGTTCCGCTTTTCGGTGCGGAGGATACCCTTGTCTACCAAACCCTTGGCGAGGCGTTCGCGCACTTGCTTGAGTTGGTAGCCAATCTTCATCAGATTCCATGTTTCACCTGCCCGGAAGACACGTTGAGTCAGCCAATGCGTCAATAGCAATCGCGGAAGAATCAATAAGGAATATGATCGGAGATGCTCCTGCGTAACGTACCGCTCAACAAATCGATCCAGGAGTTCACGCTCATCTTCTCACTCGACTTCATTATCTTCAGCGCCTCGTCCAGCAAGACCTCCCCAGTTAGCGTATCGTCGACCACCTCAATCACCCGATCGGCCAAAGGGAAACGTCGCCGAGAGGAGTCCTTCTGCATGCTGATCCGACCACGGAGCGCTAACTCGATCACGATGCATCCTCGGAGAGCGTATGAGATGTTCTCGTTCCAAAAAGACAGATAACCCTAGAGCGACACCAAGCCATCCCGGACGCGCCTGTCAGTCATTGAACACCGGTTGTAGATGCGCGTAGCCAGGCTAGGGGCTCACCTGCTTATCCTTCAACCCCAGCAGAAGCACCTCTTCCATCAACGTCAACTTGGGCTGCTTGCTGCGTTCCTCCGTCTCACTGATGTCCCTAGGATCGAAGGCGATTTTGTGACCGTTTTCGGAGCTGGTGAACGAGGTCTCGGGGATGCGGTTATCCAGCGACGAACCATTTCTCGACACGGGCGAAGAGACTCTGCTGTCGTCGTTGTCTTCGGCGCCAGCGACTCGACCGCCACCTCTCCGGCGAGTCAAGCCCCCGGCTGAGGCCATGAGGATCTAAATGCGGCTGGAGAACGGGAGCGGGGGGGGGGGGGGGGG